TTTCCATTGAGCCATGTGCCCCACCCCCTTCTTGATCAACATGTGTAAGCACACACATCCAGTTATGGTGCCTCTCCCTTCTGCTGCTGTCTCGAGGCAACTTCAGTTCATCAATGGAGCCGAAGCTCCACTTACTGTTTAGTCCAAACCCAGAAACCGCCCTATCATCCTCCCTGGCCTTAAGGCTTCTTTGCCTGACAAGGGGTGTTCCTGTCTAGGTCCAGCCTGCATGGCAGCTGCAGCAGGGTTCTGACATCTCCTCTCTGGAGCACACATTCCCACAGGGGACTCTGCCCTCAGTTGAGGGGGGTGGGCCAGCCAGGCCAAAAGGGCAGAACTGATACTCTCCCCTAAGCACCCGAGGACTAGACCCTGATCTCTGCCAGGTGCTGAACATGCTTCCCGGCTGCTTCCTCTAGCCCAGCGCCTCTTAAACTTGACATCGGTGAGGCTGGCAATAGGGCTGAGCAGGTGAAGGTGCTTTGCCACCAAGCATGATGACCTGGGTTTAATGTCCAATACTTAGAATGTTGAAGCAGAGAACGGACTCTCACAAGTCATCCGACCTCCACACCCCACACTGTGGCATGTGTGTGCCCACACATATAAAGTTAAATACATATTTAAAAAAAAAACTTGACAAGTGAAACGTTTTTAAAAAGATTTTTGGGCCCGACTGGAAAGGTTTCTGATGGAGTAGGTTAGGGTAAAGTGGAGCGTGACTTCTCAGTGTTCCCGGGAGACAGTGATGCTGCAGCTCCCGGACTGCAATTTTCAAGAAGCCCAGCACACAGCCTTCATTCCTGATCATCCGTCCTCAGCTGCTCATCTGGCCTGAGCAACATGAGAAGCCACAGCGCAGGAGGCTGGAAACCCCAAGGCAGAGACCTGAGCATTTGGACTTCATCTGAGGCACCTCTGAAGGATTTGGGCAGGTTGTACACTAGTCAGGGAAGAAACTTAAAAAGGCTACGGGTCCTTCGTGGTATTAGGATATTTCACTGGTTGGCACAAGTGACCTGTTTCTTCTTCCTTCAACACACGCTGATCTGGTGTGAGATCTGAGTTGAGAAAGGAGAAAGGACAGTGTGGTCCTGGCCCTGGTAATGAGAAAGGAAATAAGCTAACGGTTGTCACACTGATAGCTGTTCTCTGGAGGGAGTGTGGGTGAAGAGTGGGAGGAACCCTGGCATCTGAGTTACTGGAACCTTCTTGGAAGAATTGGCATTTATTCCCAGACCTGAAGGGTTTTCAAGAATCTAAAGGTGGAGAGGGTATGTTTTTGACCTTAGTTCTCTGAGGAAAAAGTGACTATTTGAATCAGATGAGCTGTTCTTGCTTGCAAGAGGTCATCAGGATCCAGCTTGCTGACTGTTATTTCCTCATAGAAGTTGGGGGGGGGGGTTTGGCCTCTCACCTGAGCTTCAAGCCCTTCCTCCCAGCTGATTGTACTCAATTCTCCTCTAATTGCAAGTGGGAGGCGCTAGTGTATATAAATTGGTAAAGTTAACAGAGGGCCTCTGTGTACTCGACTGTTTGGGAGAGTTAACAGCGGGTCTTCACCTACTCAACCGCTTACTCTACTGCTTACTTGACAGTTTGGTAGAGTTAACAAAGGGTCTCCATCTACTCAACTGTTTCAGAAGTCATTCCTGTTGGCAGCTGCCGCTTTGGGGGTCACTCATGTTCCTGCCAGTTACCCCTCAACCATATTCTGTAAGTCCAATACACTCATGGGCTCCCAGTGTAAACCTTGGTGTAATTGTACTTTGGTTTGTTGTTGGGGCCTTAGGAGGAAGGGGTAAACCTTTGTTTCTCCCCAGGGAAGGAATTCTTGAAACAGGGTAGCAGGGGTGAAACCACAGAACTGAAAAAGGAGTGATTGCACGGTTTGCCAGGTAGCTCTCCTGCCACGCCTGGTCCTGTCCTTTCAGTTGGCTCAATCTTTGTCATCCAGCTTGGGTGCTCTTGAGCTGATATGCTCCAAGGCTCACTCTGTCGCCTCTTTCACTCTCCATGCCCCGGCCCCTGAGCTCGTTCACACCTGAGGCCTGCTTATTAGCTGGACAGCCAGGCTTCATCTCCTCACTCCACATGGTTGGCCACAGGCATCCTGTATTCCATCCTGGTGAACGCACACTGGCACTCCACCAGATTATCTAAGCCAAATAGTGACATGAAAGGTACAGAATAAATTGGGTAATTGCTGCTGCCAATTACCGAGGCAAATCAGAAAAGTTCCCGGGCTCTGCTTTTGAATCCATGGTAGCTGAATGACTTGATGACAATACTTAACTCACAAGGTTGCTCTACTATTAACAATAAGAATCATTTGTAGCCCAGGCTGGTGGTGACTCGGACCTTTAATCCCAGCACTCGGGAGGTAATGGCTGGCAGATCTCTGAGTTCAAGGCCAGCCCGGTAGAGTTGTTCTGTTTTGTTGTTCTTTTTTTGTTGTTCTGTTTTGTTTTTCGAGACAGGGTTTCTCTGTGGCTTTGGAGGCTGTCCTGGAACTAGCTCTTGTAGACCAAGCTGGTCTGGAACTCGCAGAGATCCCCCTGCCTCTGCCTCCTGAGTGCTGGGAATAAAGGTGTGGGCCACCACCGCCCGGCTTGGTAGAGTGAGTTCTAAGACAGCCTTCAAAGCTACAGAGAAACCCTGTCTCAGAAAAAAACAAAAACAAACAAACAAAAAAACCCAAAACATTTGCGGATCCAAGCACACTTCTTGAGAAGATGTTGTGTATCTCCTTCAAAGCTGCATCACTGGTCAATGTTAGAGTCGGATCTGGAAGCCACAATCTCTGATCCTAAACTATTTTCTCCACCTCGCATCCAGCCCATCTATCAAATAGGCGAGTGAAAGGAGGGTGGCAAATCGCATAATCAGGATGAGTGTAACCACTTAGGTGAATGTTTAAAAATTTTTAACGACTCTTTTTTGTGTGTGCATGCCTGTGTGTGTGTACGCGCGCACACGCGCGCGTATGTGTGTGTATAGATGCCAAGTCCACAACTTCTCCATATTTTTGTTTCTACTCTCAACTTCCCTGAAGCAGAAACACTTGGGTTCTCCCAAAGGCCATAGTAGGAAGTAGGTGTTGCAGCCATGTTCACCACCCACCCAGCTGACAAGCTGGCCTGTGGAACAGGTTGTCAAATACCAGGAGTGCCAGAGGGAAATCCCAGACAATTCTGGCCTAGGGCTTTTTGGACAGCGGGGCGCTGTTTGAGATCAGTTAACCCCCCACCCCCCGCCCCGCTCAACACACACAAATAGTCCGCCCGAATGCTCTTTTTCTTTTCCTTTCTTTCTTTCTTTCTTTCTTTCTTTCTTTCTTTCTTTCTTTCTTTTCTTTTTTTTTTTTTCCAATTCTGGCTGAGTTGTTAGCTTCAGCCAGATGAGGACGCTTGCCAGGTTACCTGACTGGGTGAGCACCGCCCAAACTGGTCAGGCTAGTCACTGCGTGGCTGTTTCTGCCAGGGCTTGCCCTTGCGTAGGGGAGGGTACAGACCTACCTTCTCCACAGCAACTCGGGTAGGTGGAAGGCAGCTGTGGGCACTCTAGCCTGGCAGTCAGTCCAGATGGGTGGAGCTGAATTAATCTAACCTGGAATTTCAACTTGGCCAGTTACAACAGGTGAGGGGTGGTAGGGAAGGCAGCATTAGAACTGGGCAGTTTGGCAAGTTGGAAATACTGTGTCTTGTCCCTTCATCGCCTGCCTGAAACACAGCCTAGGGTGACTTTTTCAAAGTGTCTGTGAGCTTTAGGCCTCAGTGGCTACTTGGGCCCATCAGGAATCTGGGTTCCTCTCCGCTATGCGCCCCGTCCCTCTACTCTGGGAAGCAGGGCGGGCGGGGGTCTCGAATTAGTCTTTGTTTTAGACACTAAAGAGCCCGAGCACCGCGCCAGAGAGGCTGGCGATGGCAGAGCCCGGGGGGTCGCCCGGGTCAGGGCGCTCGGCTGTGACCCTCAGGCGGATGCCATGCAGCGGGCACTCGGTCTCTGCCTACGGGCACCCCCTTCTTGCCGGCCAGGCTGACTCGGTATGCAAACGCGCGCTGTCCCCTATTGTCCTGCCTCAGCCTGAGAGAGAGGCAGGCG